GACCTAATGCAGCTAGAATACGCTTGGTTGTGATAAAAGCAAGATTTTTTTTCATGCCTACCTGAAATAATTTCTTAACTTAGTATATGAGATTAAAAATAATTGGGCTGTGAGCTTGATGTTTTTTTCTCTGTGAATTGACAATATTTATTAATGAAGTTGGAAGCTTTAGATAGATGTACCTAAGGTATCTAAAGTTATAGAAAAGCATGTGTAATGTTTTAGAAGTTGATTGATCTTTGATACTGTTAGAAATACCATATTCTTTGGTCAGCTATTTGGTGGCTTAATTGAAAACTTTTTGCCATTTATTTAGTTACTACTTTTTATAAAATGTACTTCGTAATTTTCCAATAACTTTTTCACATTGGAAATAATTTTTTAAATCATCATTTCGTCTGAAAATAGACTTATGGGTAGGAGCCCTGGTGGCGACTTTTAGATAAGCATTGGATGGTAAGGTTGCCAGTTCAAATCCACCAGCTGCTCCTTGGGAGAAAGATGAGATTGTCTACTCTCATTAAGATTTACAGCCTAGGAAACCCTATGTAGGGTAGCTGTGTGTTGGAATCAACTTGACAGCTTTGGGTTTAGGCTGTTCTGGTGTCTTCTATAGATACTGCCAGCATCTGCATTTCACTCAATTCTGCATTAGTCTTTTTGAAGTTAAGGTCTTCAAGTTAATTTCTAATTATAACGTCTATAGGAATTATGGTCATATGCATAAAACGGTCACATAAGCATGTTATAGTGTTGCTTTGATACAGAGAAAAGAAATCATTGGATGGAGCTGTCAGTTTAACCAAACAGATCAGTGATATATCTATGTGAAATATTAGAAATGCCAAAGGTATGTGTGTCTATAAACCCGACACCAAACCCACTTCCATCAAGTCATTTCCAACTCATGGCGACCCTGAAGTGCTTTGCACTGTTATTACATGTGTTGATTCAGGTAATCACCGCTACAATTATATACCCCATACACAGCCACACACCCTTGCTTCCATTGTTCAACTTTAAAGTGAAGCTTAAACTTTACACCTAAACTGTAGTTAAACTTAAATGATAATATAAAGTGCTCAGGAGCCAGATGGGTCTGGCAGTTGCCATATTGGACAGGACATGATTAGACCGTAGATGCTATAAGCGATCTCCAGGGCCTGAGATCACTTTCTTCTCTGGTTCTTCTTTCTGAAGATCTTCTTTGGTGAATAAGAGTTAGCTTCAAAAGAGCTGGTACCTTTTATGATTCCTCTTCGTTCGACTTTGCCCACCAGCTAGTACTTGACTATTAATTGATTAATTAAAAAACCCAAACCAAAGTCATTGCCGTTGATTTGATTCTGGCTCACAGCGAGCCTGTAGGATGGAGTAGAATCATTGGATTTCCAAGACTATAACCTTTATGGAAACTTACTGCCTAACTTTTAGTTAGCAGCCAGCTGCCTTAATCAGTGTACACGAGGGCTTCTAGAGTAATAGTATGTTTTGACCATAAGCATATGAGGAGATTTGCAGGTTCTGTTCCAGACCACTGCAATAAAAAATTCAGATACCACAGAAAGTGAGCCACATTCGTTTTTTTTTTGTTTCTGAGAGTATCTTGAACTGGACCCACAAACTACCAGGAACCCTGGGCTCTCTGTCCCCATAAAGAGTTGCAGTCATGGAAACTCACAGGGGCAGTTCTGCTCTGTTCTATAGGGTCGCTATGAGTCAGTCTCTATGGTAGTGTTTATTCTGGTGTTACAGTGGGCTGTGTTGGGCTGCTAACTGCAAGGTCAGCAGTTTGAATCCACCAGTGACTCCTGCAGAGAAGACTTCCTGCTCCTGTAAAGATGAATAGCCATGGAGTCCCGGGGCAGTTTTATTCTATCCTACAGGGTCACTATGAGTTGGACTCAATAGCAGTTAGGTTTTTTGGGGGTGATAGCCTCTTAATTAAGTATGCTTTCCCCCTCTTCCCCCACTGTCATTGAGTTGATTCCTACTCATAACGACCCATAGCAACCCTATAGGACAAGGCAGAAATGCCCTGTGGGTTTCTGAGACTGTAACTCTTGATGGGAATTGAAACCTTTTTTAAAAAAATCATTTTATTGGGGGCTCATACAGCTCTTATAACAATCCATACATACATCAATTGTATAAAGCACATTTGTACATTTGTTACCCTCATCATTCTCAAAACATTTGCTCTCCACATAAACCCCTGGCATCAGCTCCTCATTTTTTCTCCCTCTCTCCCCACTTCCCC